GCATTCCCACCATTTACAGAGGACATTCATATTTATCATTTGACAACTAAGAAGTCTAGCAGTGACCAAAGTCATTAGGCTATTTTTGTTAAAAAAAAAAAAAAAATTAAGAAAGCCAGCTTCATACAAAAATCTATCCACTGGTAAACAGTCAAAGATATGCCAAGTATTTTTTAAAGTTTAAGGAAGGCTTCAAGCCTCTGAAAAAGTAAGAATAGACAAAACCTAGCAAAAGTATTTAAGATGAGGATATTCTGCTTTCTTGAAAACCATGCTTTCTGGTTCACCTTATGTTTAGAGATAAACAACTTCACTGACAAGACTATTCACCCAAAATTTGGAAAAAAAACACCAAACAGTGGTATATTTTGAAGTAGAGATCAGGTCAATTGGAGAAAGCTAACCCTAGCCCTTGTACTGATATAACATTGCGTGCACGATGGCTCTACCCCACTGAGTACTTACACACAGTTTCTAGCAGCCAGGTCTTTGTGAATGACCTCCCGTCTGGCCAAATAACTCATTCCACAGGCAATCTGGATAGCCATATGTACAAGATCCTGCTGAGAAATTGCCTGCAAGAGCACAGAAGAACAATCGTTGCAAAACTGCAAGCCCAGGGGCTGCTAGGTTAGTATTTTCATTGCATTCTAGTGCCCCCTCCCCTCCCCTTTAGTGCCTGATGCTTTCTAGTGGCTATGAAGACTCCTTATTCTAAATCTTAACTTTTTTTTTTTGACATGCCAGGGGCAAATGTTTCCAATTTGCAGCAGCATCAGTGCTACACAGCTTTTCCTTTGATTAGCGGTGAATATAGGCAAAAATAGTCAATTTTACCCTTCTTACCACACTTTTTTCACTTTGCTTCTCTTGAAATCAACTCCTTTTCAGGCAGCAGAGCACAAACAGCAGTATAAATTCTTGTTGCTATCTACTCTTGAAAACTAGTACCAAAGGCTGTTGCTCCATCTACTTTTAAAACTTTACAGTCCTATACAAATTAAACCCTTGTAGATATTTATACACCGTGTTCGCTCTTCCATTTCTACAGTGTCTCAGAAACCTCAGTATGTAGGTGGACACATTGAAGTCAGAAGACTGGAGTTAAAATAGACCAAATACTAAATTACAACAACAACAAACTGGCTTCTTTGTTAACTGGTTGTTATTAAGAACAATAGCCATGTATTATTTCAGAAAACTCACGATTTTCTTTAGGTATATGTAGAAAAGTTCCATCTTAAAGTAAGTATCTAGGACATTAAACATCCCATTTTTTGACAGTTAAGTACAGTCACACCTAGTTACTATGAGGCAACTGCTGTTTGACATAATACACATCATAAGCACCATTTCTGCTTAAATTCTTGAACAGGGATAAATCCCTATGCAACACACCAATATAACTCAGATTAAGCAGCAAAACAAGTAAAATCAAAGCTGAAAGATCCTAGCAGCTTATCACAACTTGTAAATTAACGGAGGTAAGTGGCCCTTGCTAGTCTGAAATCTGGTACATAACAGGGACAAATGCTGACCTCAGGAAACAAGATTTCAATTCTATTTTTAACAGAGTCAAGCACAAAAGTCAAACCAAAGTGAAAGTTGAAGAAGACAAAAGACAAGGTAATCCTAACAAAAGGGACAGTTTCAATACATATACGTATCCATCACTAAACCCTTATTCACATTTCAAAAAACTAAGAAAATATTCCTAGATGAGAACATATCTTGCCTTCTCACTTCTCATGATCTATATGCAACAAGTTCCATTGAAACATGGTTTAAAAAAAAAAAAGAGATCACTTCCTTTAGTACCTAAGGTTAAATAAATCCAGTTATTTTACTTAATAGCAAATCTACACCAGCACCATAGAAGTTTAACAGAAGTGCTTTATGCTTACTATAAAATAATTAGCTATAGTAATTAAAGGAATTACTAATTATACAAAAAAATCAGTAAATCTGAAATTTCTCCATACACAGTTTTTCCCTGTGTAATCTAACAAATTCACAATCATATACCATTTTCTCTATTTTTTGATATAATTTTTAAGATCTGTTAATATACCAGCTACTACCCCAATCAGAATTTAAGTCTGTTTCATGCCCTCTGACCATCTGTGATAACACAGCCAACAATGTTTTCCTTGTATGAATCAAGACAAACACTTGCTAGGACACCTGCTTGCCAGTTCTTTCATTGTCACAACAGAGCAGGTGAATACCACAACTATTTCTTTTAAGGCACATACACAGATGACAAGCCAAGTCTAAGTTTAATGGGCAAGAAGTCCCAGATTTCTGATTGTACCTGAGGATTGTTGGCCTCTACAAGCTTGCACTGTCGCAAGAATAGTTTAAGGTTCCCCCAGTTCATGTACGGCAGCAGCACCATTGGTTTCTCTCCCTCTTCTATACAGACATGAGTGATAGGTAGCAGATTCCTGGATGACAGGGAGAGAAATTCCTAATTTTATGAAACTAAAATTTTATTAAATTCTTCTCGATCCCTAAACACATTAAGTGAAAGTAACTCAACATCAAAGAAAAGCATTAATCTTGCATTACGAATCACAGAGCAAAGTCTCCCAATAAGTGAAGCCCTAGACCTTTTAAAAGATATTTGAGTACTTTCCCATTGGGAAGAACCCTCCAAATTTTTTTCACTTGGTCCAAAACAGCTGAAAAACTTCTGTGAATAGAGGTTATCATTTATTTTAAGAAGCGATTTATCCTCAACTTGGAAGTGTATAATTCTAAATGCAACTACAGATCTAAAATGCCTAGCTCCATTACAGAGTGTCAAAAAAAGTCAAAACATTGGGTTTGATCCACTTCAAAATGACACAACAGAAATTTTTAGTTTTAGATCAACTAAACACTAAATTTCATTCTAAATGCAGAAGTATCTCAGGATTCTTACTCCTCCTTATGGCTCAGATAACCCCCATGCTGCATTGCTTGAACATCTTCATACACCATCAACATATTCATATTTAGAAACTTAAAACAAACTGCACAGTTTCAATTTTTAAAAAACTGTTATCTCCTATTGAAAACATATTAGGAAGTCTTCAGTGACTTGTTATGCTTTTTAAAAGGGAACTTCGAAATTTCCTGTTCTTACTTGCAGAAGCCTGCAGCACCTTTTTCTGGAATAACTAAGAATATATAAAAGGAATAGCTGCCCATATTTCACTGTGAGGCTTGGAACACCAAACCAAAGACTTTCCCCATTTTGCCCACATGCTGCTATTATTTGATTTTACTGACTGTGCAGCTGGGAAAAAAGCTTACAAGCACTCTTTGCTATAAGAAGTATGTCTATAATTCTGTATTTTAAAATGACACAAAACTAGTTTCAGCTCCTTGCGGCTTAAAAAAAAAACACCTCTTCAAACATACAAAATGTTGCTGAATTCTGAAAAAAATTGTTTCCTATCCCCCTAGGAAGCTTTAAGCACAAATATTTTCAGCTGGCACAGCTATAGTTTTGCTCATAAACACTGCTTAGCTTACCTGTGATGAAGTCCTCGGAGTTTACAGCTTTCAGTCAGCATCATTGTCACCTGTACCTCTGAGGCTTGATCTAATAATTAAAAAAAGAAAAAAGGAACCACAGATATAACTTTGGAAACAAGCCAAGATATTAAAGTCTGGTCCAGATTTGCAAGTCAGTTGAGGTCATTTGAGCACAAACAGAACTTGTTTGCCTAATTTTTAAAAATGGAGCTTAAAAACCCCAAACAAGCAAGCCAAGTCCTAGGACGTATTTCTGCTTAAACAAACGGGGTGAAGCCGAAAAAGGAAATAAAGCACACTCCAAGTGCTGACAGACTGTACTTTTGCCACTTCCTGACAGCTTCTGGGCAGGCATGAACTGCCTGCAGCAGGCAGCGCGGGTCACATCCTGCACACAGGGCCAGGGCCGCCAGAAGCAGGGGAGCATGCCATGCGTTGCCCAGAATCACAGAAGTGCTCAGAAGACACTGGTTCGCTGCTGAATTACCAGTATGGGCTTCTGCAGATTACTTCCACACTGATGGAAAGCATTTAGTTCAAGATTTACTTATTTACTGCTCTCTACTTCAAACACTTGACTCCTGGTAACCTTAGAAATGCTTGCTCTTCCCCACCTTTCAAATAAAAAAAGCCACTGCTGCCAGCTAAAATACAAGCATCTGTGATAACTCCACTAACGCACAGCAATCAGAACATCTACTGGGCAGAAGCAGAAGTGTTGACTGTAATCCATTCCCACAAATATTTTTGTGTTTGTTTCCCTCCTCCTCCCCACGTGGTGGCAAGCAGCAACAGGGAAGCTTCCTGTGATGTAGATCAGTGCTCTCACAATCCCACCCTCCTCATACCTGGGTGCATTTTCTGTCCCTCCTTCGTGCTAGAACTAGTACAGGCAGCAAGCTAGCACAGGAGAGAGCCCAGCAAAGGCCAATCAGTTTTCCTTCCTGCATTAGGATGAATTTACTTATTACAGATCAGTCAAACCAACATTTTAATGCCCTGGGAGGAAGAAGAGGAGAGAACTTGTGTGCTCTTTTTCCCTTCTTCATGGTCTTACCCTCTTCCCTGTACCAGCTCTGATGCCCTTTCCCAATTAAACTTTAACCCTGCAAAAGAAAACACGACTTTTGACTGAATTAACAGTGGTGAACATCAGCAGCGCAGATGAGCACAAGGTAGGGAAAGAAAGCACCGATCTCAGC